CACCTGGCTAGATTCCTAAAAAGAGCTCTCAGCCTATTCTTATTACCTCATGTCACTTATTCTTAACCTCCATCCTGTGCAACAAACACTGTGTGTGCATGGTCACATCAAACATTTTGATCATTAAATGAGAGAAAATGATTTTGTATTTTCTATAACCCAAAGGGGCTCATCTTGTCTTGCTAAAATCACATTCCCACATATTCACTAAAAATGTCTTAAAGCATTTCACAAAGTTCACCTTCTATCTCCAACATCAGCAGAGAAAATGTTGGCACAGATAACCCACTCCTTAAGCAACTGAGTTTACATTTTTACAGGCCACAAAGGCAATATTATAATTTAATTGACAACAAGTTAAATTATGTGCCCAAATCAGTGTAACATGCCCATCTTGACTAAATTTAGCTAATTTTTGTGTGTTCTTGAAAAAACAATTTTCAAAGATAAAAGTAATGAAATTTTCATATTTCATTTGTGGCTACTATGAATTCATGGTATTATTAAGATATTAAATCTAAGACCCTTCCAGAGACAAAATGAAGCTCAAAACTCCGTAAAGCACATTAACTTCATTCTTACTGGCATTAGAAAACATTTCTTTTTCTTTCGAGACAGGGTTTCTCTGTAGCTTTGGAGACTGTCCTGGAACTGGCTCTTGTAGACCAGGTTGGCCTTGAACTCACAGAGATCCACCTGCCTCTGCCTCCTGAGGGCTAGGATTCAAGGCGTGTGCTATCACTGCCTGACTAGAAAACATTTTGAGACATTTGGTAATTTTGATATGTCTTTGGCCAAGTCATGAATGAGCAAACATGAAACTGAAGAAAATTGTTGGGTGGATCTTAACGTAAAACAAAGGGTTTCACTGAAGTAATGAGCCTGTGACCTGCTGTACAATTTTTATGCTATTTTTTCTAAAATCTGCTGTGCAAAAAAATATGTCCTGTTAAAATGATCAGTTTTTGATATTTTTCAACTACGTTTTTCTTGTTTGAGAATTTCATACATGCATATACTATGTTTCACTACTTTTAACTCAATTTTTTTTTCAAATTTGAATTAGCCATCCATAATTGCTTGAAATTAACTACTATCTCGATATAATGATAAATTTAAATTAAAAACTTGAGAAATATATTCAGTTTATGATTTTTAGTTTCATATACTAAATGAAATTTGTATATGTATGGAAATGAGAGTGTGTCTTATTAAATCTACAGTTGAATTTTAAGATATCTTTTTAAATTAGAGATTAAAATGGTCTAGTTAACATTGTTGTTCATCCCATGCCTTTTAAAGGAAGAATTGTTGGACTGGAAAATGTGTGGGGTGGTTTTGAAGAGCAAATGGACCACCACAAATTACAACCATGTGGAATTTATGCGTTCACCTGTAAGGAGTAAGTGTCTATTTGGGTTTCTCTTTGGTTTGACAAACAGGTATGCGGCACACTACTGTGCTGATCCATCCAGACACTCGAGTTCAGACAAAAGCAATCCAATGTTCGCAGTCATTTTTGTTTGTTTTAGCAAAACAACCCATGTGAACTCCACCCAAGCCTGGGAGTCGGCGTGCCCGGAGACAATTTTACTAGGTACATGCAGTGGTGTTTAAAGTTCACCAGGATGACTTTAAGGGTTGGTCGATTTTCCTTTTATAGAGTTTGACCTCATTCTTGGAGCCTCTCGGAAGGCAGTACCAGGGAAACTCATGTCGATTCAAAGCAGCCATGGAGGGGAAAGGAGTGCTCCAATTTAGCACATTTAAATTAACACACCACTCTTAGTCATTGGCAGATGCCTTCAAAACCCATGTTTTACATCCAACCACAGTTTTCGGTGAACTGAATCAAACTGTACATGTGAAAATACAGACTGCTATCTAGAGTTCTAAACTTCTGAGCTGTGAAAGCTCCATGTGTGCACATGTATGATCATATCTCTATAGCAGTGTATGTGTGATCATAGGTATATGAATGCAGTCATGCTTTTGCCTGAGCAAAAAAAAAGCTATAGTTGATCAGAAATTCTCACTGGGTCATATGAGTCCACAAACTTCAACACTACTGAAATGAAGAGAATCAGAAGTGGCTATTTTTTTTCCTTGCATACATGGTGTATATGTATAATGTGGGTACGTGTAAAGTACATATATGTATTAACTGCTTCCATGACCTTCCAAAATCTGAGCAATGAAGGGTTGCTTGCTAGCTGTCTCTTCTCCTGGGGTGGGGGGGTCCCTTTGAACTTCACTCTAGCAGGTACGGCTTGGGACAAGGGGCTCTGCAGAGGAGTCTGCGGAAGGCAGTTAGTGTCCCAGCAGGGGATCACTGGTGGGCTACCGGGTGGCTTTAGATGACTTTGACATGCTGATAGACACATTTAAACAGTAAGGGACTCCACTTGGACAGTTTCTTTTAGTTCTTCTGATTATGGAAAACAAATAGGCCTAATTGGTAGTGAAATAATTTTACCACGTCTGTCACACTCTTTTCGATAGTAAGAACAGCCCATGGAATTTCTTTTGATGATGATCTTCCTTGAAAGACAAATGATACTGGCTTTCCATCTATAGTAAAACAGGAAGTTCCTATTTAAATAAGTGTATCTCATTTACAAATGAAAGGGGATAACAAACTATAGAAATGATACTGAATGCACAGGAGCTAACAGCTGCCAATAGAGGCAGAGTTACCTATCTTTAAGCCTGTGGCCCTGGGAGGTCTAGCACGCTGCAGAGGATGCTCACACACCTAACAGTAAATGGATAGCGCTATTGAGACTGCATGAGTTTCTTTAAAAATGAAGTCATGAAGTTGGGTAGGTATTGGAGTGGGGGAGTAGATCTGGGAGGAGAAGGGGGTAAATATGATCAAAATACAATGGATGCAGTTCTCAAAGACAATAAACTTTTAATTTATAAAAATAAGGTGACGTTTGAAGGACAATAGATGAGTCTAAAAGTTATTATGTTACTGAAATAGATTCAAAACGAAAAAAATACTAAATGTCTCATTGCATTTTCATATCTTAAATTTGAAACTATGTATGAGCTAAAATTCACACGTAGAAACACACAACTAAATTTTTGAAACTACAATTCCATTGCTAAAATCTGGTGCAAATATATGTGATTTTTACTATTACATAGTAACAAGATATGTAACTATCAAATAAAAATGTAAATTTATGTTTGTGAGATTTGTTCATTGTGGGATAGTATTCATTTCAAAATTTTGATAACATTAATATTAGTAAAACAAAAAAAGGATAATACTTTTAGTACAGATGATACAAGGACAGGATAAAAATCACAAAGTAGCTGATAAATTAAAGAAACTTGGTGAAAGCAAGGACAATTTGCTCATAAGGAGAGTTGACATTTGGGGGGAAATTCAGTTTATTGAGGACAAATATTTATAATTAGCAGCAGGCATCTCTATGCAGCATCTCTGAAGAGAAAGGACCAGGAAAGCATAAACAGTACAAGCTGTTCTTGATGTTGGTGTACTTTCAGATGCTCGTAACAGAAAGCAGTTAAGAATAGCTCAGACAGTAAGAACCATCTCCATGGCCAGCGGGGCAGTTGGGGCAGCGGGGCAGCGATCTTAACAAAGGACCTAGGTTCTTACCCTCTCTTTTGCCATACATACCATACCCTGTCAGCGGGTCCGTCAGGCTTATCCCTACAGGGTCTTATGCTATCTTCCAAGACATCTTTTCTAACGCAATGATGACCAAAACTGACCAGATTCAAGAAATTATGAATCATTGTGTTTTGCTTTGTTCCAAGACCAAGAGAAACTAACCCAAAGTTTCTCATTTTTTTTTCCTTCCATTTCTTAAGCAAGGCTGCATTCCACATTCATACTAAATCAAGTGTTGATTGCCTAACCCCCACCCCAGAAAAGGAAAGAAATAGCCAAAATTGCCTTAGTGACATCCTGATTTACTTGGGGCTAGAAAGGACTAATGAAGACCACAGGGCTTGGTAAATGAAGAGTTATCACTTGACAAGGATGTGAAGGAACTGGCTACTAAGCGGGCACCCCACATTGCTGCTATCCATTCAGACTAGCAGCGGGTTTGAACAATTCCAAGGTGCTCCAAGATGCTGAGATGATGTAGGAGATAAGTATTAGTTTGTCATGGCCAACAGTAGAATACTGAAACTATATAGGGAACATGCACACAGAGGACAGTATTTTAACTTACAGGTTTTCTTTTTAAAGCGTCCAGATAGGGTAAAATTTCAAAATAAATAACGAGTGGGCTCAGGGTTTACAAACACTGATTGATGGTTGTTCTGCATTTTAAACTTTCAGATCTTGTGGACCAAACAGACACAATAGAGGAGAAGGGAACGGGCTGTTGCCATCATTTTAAGCATCTGCTCTTTTTTAAAAGTCTCAGAGTAGCCACTATACGAGGAGTTAAGAAACAACATAAAATTTAGTATACATCTTTGTATAACTTGCAAAAGAGACACCTGGAGAACTGTATCTTACCTGGAGCATAGGACTTGTGCATGCTCAATCTGGATTTGATGAGTAAATTCAGTTCCAAAAAAAAAAAAAACATACTTGAAATGGGCTATACGAATCTACCTTATGCCCCCCCACCCCACATATCTGTGTTTTAAATGTTTTCAAAGGCTAAATTTGGTGCCGTATGCTCCATTCCACAATGAATATGATTAAAGAAATGGTTAGGAAGGATCTGCCCTGAAATGTGGAGTGACAGGAGTGACCGTCCAACAATGTGATTAGGCAGCTAACACTGTAATATCCTATGAATCCTGATTTTTCTCTTTGTCCTAGCAACAATGTTTTAATAAGGACATTTTAATACCGATTTTAAAGATGTAAAATGTAATCAAAGCACAATGGTCTGCATGTGTAAAGGTATCATAATGAACCCTATTATTTAGTACAGCAACTTAAACATTTTTAATAACAAGGTACGCGTGCATGAATCAAAGTCTAAAGAGTAACTTACTAGAGTTTATAATGGCAGCTAATGGTCAAGTGGCAATTTGACTTCAGGCCTTTCTGACCCCAAGATCTAGGCTCTCTCCACTGGATGGTTCTGCTTGTTGGGTTTTTGTACAGACACTTCTGAAGGACAAAAATATGTAGGTTATGAATTAAAAGAGTGGAGCTAAGACACACGAATAAAAAGAAAAGTCAAATTCAAATCCAGAAAAAAAAAGTAGGCATTAAGCACCTACTATGTGCCAGGAATTGAATAAACAAGAGACTGTGCACCTATCTGGACACACAGGGGAAGGGAAGGAGGTGAGGGACTGCCAGCAATCCCAAGACACCCAGACATCTAAAGAAAATGGGAGTACTTGTGTTCTTTGTTGTGGAGCCAGAACAGGAGTAGGTGTGGTAGGGATAAACAGGCACACCCAAAGAACAAGGACCTCCCTGGCCAGGGCTGGGCTGGACTGGAGAGACACACCTTTACATTAAGACCGCCTTTTCCCAGTTGGGTAAGTTTCCCTTACTCTCACTTGTATATGCTTGAGGCAAGTCAGGCACCCAACTCTTACTGATAGACATCCTTCTGCCTGAATATAGGATAGCCCAAATATTTTAAACACTGGTAGAAGCTGCTGTTCTCCTGAAGGTTAGCAAGCAACTGTTTATTGAGGATTATTAAAGTGATGATAGTCTTACCCTGTTATGTTTGGAAAAGCCATCGTTGAATCTGCATGTCTGTTTCCTCAAACCTGAATTCCGAGGCAGTGCAGCCTGAGCCGTCATCTGGGTCAGCGTTATCTTAGCCATCTGTCACTGATGGAGATTAAGTACGATTGCTATAGCTGTTGGCCCAGATGGCGCCACTCAGTTTCACCTGTATGATTCATCATATGAAAAAGAATGCGATTTCCTTTAGCACATCAACTTAACCAGCCAGGCTTCGTAATGACCGGTGTGTTTCTTACTAGTGCATCCCATGCTTGCCAGTGTTACCAAGAAAAGATAGCAGATGTCTGTACTTATCTAAAACTAAAAAAAAAACCAGCATTGGTATTGAAACATCTTTTCTACCTAGACTACCAATTGCTCATGTTATAATCAGTGCCAAAGTAAATATGCCTCCACAGCTTATAGGAAGGGACTGGGGAGAGGGTTCTGTTTAGAGCCTTGCTACACAACCAAGAGCACTTGAATTTGGACTCCCCAGTACCCATTCAAAAGCTGGTCTGGAAGCCCACATCTGTAATCCCAGGGCTGAGGAAGCAAGAACAGATCCCTAGACCTCCCTGGCTGGCCCACTTAACTAAGTCAGTGAGCTCTGGTTGAGCCGGGGACCCTACTTCCATTGCTATTTCCTACCTTATTCAAGAGCGGTTGAGGGAGATAACCAGCTTAGACCTCTGTACTTCATACGCACACACACACACACACGCATGCACACCTGCACACACCTATGCTCACATATATAAACGTGTCATACACATACACACCATACACAGAGAGAGAGGTGGGGGCAGTGTTTGGAGGCAAAGCACACAGAAACAGAACCCAGTGTCACATCTCTCTCAACCCATTTTGAGAGTACAAAAAAATGTAGATGACCCATATGGTGCTGATAAAGTTGGGGAGGTGCTTTGATCCATCCAATCATACCAATCCTTGGGAAGTCACTTAAGTATAATTTTTTAAAGTAGCCCACTTATCAAAAAGGCCTTGACCTCATTTTCAACATGAATTTTTCTATGTTTGGACAGAATCTGGAATTACCCTGCAGAAAATGTATTAGTCGTAAGTCATACTGATTCCTTTAGAATAGTATATAGAAATTCACTGTGTGACACAAGAGACACCATGAACGCCCAAAAGCTCTGAGTCCAAAAGACACTGGGATACAATTGTTTTGGCTCAAAGACTGATAATGTAGTTTAGGGGTAGGATTTTTTCCTACCATGTGCAATTCGATCAAAAAGAAAAAAACAAAACATGGCTTAATGCTTTGGTTCTGCATTATCTTGGACAACTTATATAACCTCCCTAAGTCTCTTCATTTAAACTTCAGATTCTAAGGCATAAAGGTAATAAATTTTACCTTAGAAGGTTGCTTGTATAAATCTATGAACTGATCCAAATAAATATTGATAATGACCCATTTTTATTGTTTGTGGATTTCACATATGCGTATAAACATGCTGTGATCAAATGCCTTTCCCATTTCTTCCCTTCCAAATCCTCTCCTACACCCCCACCACTTTTCCCTCGAAACTTCATGTGTTCTATCTTTTAAGACCCATTTAGCTCTGCCTGTATGTACATAAGTGTAGGAGCATCTATTGGAGCATGGGTGACCTCTCTACTGCATCCATGGACAACAGTCTCCTTCCTCCGACAGCCATTACTTGACATTAGCATCTCACCTAGAAGGGAATTTCATGAGGCTTCTCCCCAATCCATACTGAGATTTTGCTGGCTTGCTCTTGTATGAGTCATATGCCTACAGTCCCAGCCACTGTGAGTTCCTGTGTACAACAGTTTTGCCGTGCCCAGCAAATACTGTTTCACTACAGACATTCACTAGCTCTGACTCTTACAATTTTTCTGCTCCCATCCCTCCTGCTATGATGCCTGAGCCTTGGGGTGGAAAGGCTATGATACAGACCTCTCTCAATCGAGTTGACCACTGAATAGTCTCTTACTCTCTGCCCCTTGGCTGGTTGTGGGTCTTTGTATTAATTAGCCTCTATTACAAAAAGATGCACTTCTGCTGAGAGTACAGTACTAGGCAGAGTATGAAGAGAAAAATTTTAGCACCGATTTAATATTGGGTTATGAATGAAACACAGAGATGATATTGATTTCTGTGAGACATGGGGTACTTGACTCTACTTAATTGGCATTTGAGTAAATCCCAGTGGGGGTAGAGGAAAAGCCAAGTTAAAATAAATATCCCCATTCGGCTAAGGCATATAATCTGGCAGATCTTAGGTGTGAACCATGGAATGAACCAGTTGTTTTAATATATAATATGCTGCTTCCTAAAGTAAAGTTCTGAGTCTTGACTAAGCCAGTATCTAGTATAAGATCAGACAGATATAAAAGATTAAACAGTTCGCCAGCCATTCCTACATTATACACTATAGTGCAGTGCTCGGCAATGAAGCTTCAACTTTCGTTCTGCCACTTTCCACGTAAGTGAGCCTGCTTGTTACTTGATGTCTATGAACCACACCATGATGCTCCATAGAAGAAGAAAATTATATTCCCCCTTGAGGCTGAAGACCCTGGTAGACTTGTGTGCCCAGCACTAAAGAGGTATTCAGCCAGCAGTCATCTTTGCTATTGTTAGAAAAAGAACAATGATATTGTGTCGAGACAGATCATTGCTTTCCAGACATGCTGTAACAAGCAAGTCAGTAAGGAGAGAAAGGTACAAGCAAACCATTAAGACTAGAACCGAAAAAATGGAAGCTTCAGTAAGGCTGGCCTATATGGAACATATCATATCATATCATAAACATATCATAAACCATCCAGGAGAAGAAATGAACTGGAAGCTAGCCTAAAGAGCTGTCATCTTCGGTGAACTGGTAAGTCTTCTGGATCACAGCATTAAGAAGTCAGAAGGTAAAATATTTGATTCTATAAAAATACATTGTGTTTGAAGCAAGACACAACCAATGGCTGAGAGTGTTTAGAGGACAGGGAATGGCAGCGCAAAAGCCATGGTAGACAGATTATCAAAATAGATGCAGCCACAGCAGCAAGGAGGAGGATAGCTGTGACTTCCACTGGGCATCTGTTATGAATCCACCCATTCTGTTTGTTCTTTTATATTTTCTCCTATAAAAGTCACAACACTGTAAGAGGTCACTTGGATTCCACATGAGAAAATTGAGCTTTAGAGTAGTCGGGGGACAGGACAACAGATATGTCTGAGACTGTGCAGCTGGGAAGTGTACCTCCAGACAGGACCCCTGAGGGGGTGGGAGTTGCGGTTCAATGAGCATGGGCCTTTCTTTGAATTTTCTGAGTTAGTCTGAATAGTACACCGAGCTCATAGTGAAACTATTACACATTTGTTTCCCTATTTAGAGTACTATGAAGCAAATTCTGGGCCATATAAGCTTAGCTAGGCTTGAGCTATTTCCTAGCCCTACTTATATCTTTACACCCTAAGATTCTTTTTCCTCAATCCTAATCAGGACTGATCTTGTAGATTACATGTGGACCCTAAGCTCAGAAGAACTTAACGCCTCAAGTGTCAACTAAAGGCTGGATATACCATTTCAGATACTTAACTCCATCCTTTCAACTCACACAGGAATTCTTCCACAAATCCACTAGGTTTTGAAGAACTTTCCAGAGAATCAAATCTAGATAATTAATCCAAAATTCCAAAATCCTCAAGATATAATGCCTCATTCTTCATAAGATACAAAAAAAAATTCAACAAGATATGGAACAACACATAATGAAACAGGAATAAGTAAATGCAGTCACAGCTCACAAAAGTAGACATTACAACTACCATGATAGCTCCACAAGGTCAGGTAGGTGACAAATACCTGTCACACTGCCTCACACTAGAGGCAGAAGTGCTCAATAAAAAGAAGAGCAGGAAGGAAAAGAGGAGGAAGAGAAAGAAGAGGAGAAGAGAAAAGGAAAGAAGGAAAGAAAGGAAGGAAAGAAGGGAAGGAAGGAAGGAAGGAAGGAAGGAAGGAAGGAAGGAAGGAAGGATACAAACATGACAAAGTGTAAATCTAGAAAAAATTATGGTTTTGGTTGAAACAGAACATTCCAGGAATGATGGCATATGCCTTTGATCCCAGCATTAGACGTAGAGGTAGGTGAATCTCTATGAATTCAAGGCCAGCCTGGTCTGCATAGTTTGTCTCAAGCCATTCAAGGGATACACAGTGAGACTTTGTCAAGAGGCAGGAATACATAAATACATACATGCATGCATACATACATACATATAAGAGGAAAACTAAAAGGAAAAATTATGCCACACTATGAACAGTGGTTGACTCTGAGTGGTGGGAACAGAGGTAATTTTTCTGCTTATTGACATTTTATACATTTGTTATTGTTTTGTGAAGACTTATTAGGATATATTTATATGTAAAAATATGTGTGTTATATATTAATATGTATTGTTCTGCATTTTATAACATATATTTATATATTAATATATTATAATTGTATGTAACTGTATATAGAATATATCCTATTATATATTATTAAGATATGTAAGGTATTTTTAGGGTACAAAAACAACAAATAATTATTATTTTTGTTTGTTTTCATGTGTGTATTTATAGGTGCTTTTGGAACCCTGGAGCTGGTATTACAGCAGTTGTGAGCCATCCAACATGGGTTCTGGGAATAATATTCAGGTTTTCTGTAAGAATAGTACACACTCTTAACCACTGAACCATCTCTCAACCCCCCATATTTTATATTTTAAAGAAGATTAGGCAAATATAAAATGATATTTTTTCATTTTATAATTATATATTGAATTATGAAACGTAGGTTTTATCCAAAACATTTTCATAGTTACAGATATTAAAAATATTTTCATATTGAAAGATAATAAAAACTTGACTTAAAATGAATAAAAAGTGCTTGCTCCCTGGAAAATCATAACACATTTTAGAACTGTTTCTGGGCTGGGCTTAGCCAAGCGTCCTATTTTCTCAGTCATGTAACTGCAATGCTATGGTCCAGAAGTCTGGTGACCTGCGGTCATCGTAGCTGTTTAATTTCGTCCTTGACATCCTTCCTGAAGATTTTGTCACTTTCTTAACTGCCTTGTAGACCAGGCTATAACAGGTCTTTGGCTCTATCGGCTGTCAGGCTCTTCCCAACCGT